ACAGCGCCACACCAGGTCGCATGGGTTGTTGTTGTTAAGTGCCATCCAGTCAATTCCGACCCATAGTGACCCTGTATAGAGTTTCTGAGGAGCAGCTGGTGAGCTTGAACCGCCGACCTTGCAATGCAGTTCAAATAGCTTTGCAGTCTGGCGCATTAACCCACAGCACCACACCAGGACTCCAGGTCACATGGGTGGTATCTACAAATGTGGTAGTTCATGCATGCCTCCTCCCACTTCATACCAGCTGGTCACTTCACTCTCATCTTTAGCCCCCAGTGGCTAGGTCAGTGTCCATGGCTCAGGAGTTCCCAAGTCTCCCCAAACTTAGGACCAACCAGCCTTTCCTCTTCCCTCTCTCATCTCAAGGTTGACGGGAGTCTATGGAACGTGGTGGAACTCAGCCCATGTTCATTGCTGCCCTTACTCCACTTCCACTCATAAGTAGACCAACGTGGGCTCTGTCGAGCTTACAAACCTGCTCGTATGTTCCTGCCTTGATGGCTTCTTGGTAAACAGCTGACTTATTCTTGTAACAGCCAAACAGTCTGCTTTCCCCTGCTCCCACCGCTGGTCTTTCTTTTGAAAAGTGTCTTCTGTTCTTCTAGCTTCTCTAGGTAGGTCTGCATGTCCTTTCAAGTGGGACTGTCTGACCTCAGAATGTTCTGGATGGGGCTCAGGGTTCCACCTAAGGTCCTATACACTCCAAAGGCTTTGCAAGAAGCCTATGTCACTGGGAAAATTCTGGTACCCATTATACATATTCCAATCAGCTCTGGTGGTGTAGTGGGTACGAATCAGGCTACAAACCTTAAGATCAGCAGTTGGAAACTACCAGCTATTCCATGGGAGAAAGACGAGGCTTTCTGCTCCCGTAAAGACTTACAGCCTCGGAAACCTATGCAAGGTCGCTATGAGTTGGAACCGACTCCATGGCACATAACCACCACCACCACCACCACCAATCAGTTATAGGCTGAAGATCAGCTTACAAGATTTCTGTAGTCATATTTCCCAGTATTCCTTTCTGTCCTACTTAAATTTCTATTTTACAATAGTAGGCAAAGAAAATAAGGAAGACCATAGAAGAGAAGAAATTATGCGTTTGTGTTATGGTGTTGGAGGAGAATATTGAAAGTGCCACGGGCTGCCAAAAGAACAAACAGATCTGTGTTGGAAGAAATGCAGCCAGAGTGCACCTTGGAGGTCAGGATGGCCAAACTTCGTCTCTCATACTTTGGACATATTGTCAGGAGGGACCAGTCGCTAGAGAAGGATGTCATGTTTGGTAAGGTGGAGGGTCAGAGAAAAAGAGGAAGACCCCAGCGAGATGGATTGGCCAAGTGGCAGCATCAATGGGCTCAAGCGTGGCAGCGATAATGAGGTTGGCCCAGGATCGGTCAGTGTTTCGTTCTGCTGTGCATAAGATTGCTATGAGTTGGCACTGACTCGATGGCACCTAACAACAACAACAACAACAACAACAACAACAACAACAGGCAAAGAAAACCAAGACAGTCAAGCCCCTTAGCATTATTTGCCCTCTTTTACCCAATCAATCCCTGTGTCACGGAGCTCTGCTGTTCCAAGGTTGAGCATACATCACTATTTACCTCTGTCCCATTTAGTCCATACAAACCTCCCTAAGTCTCCCCCTTCTTGTGTATTGCCCTCCCCAACATCCGAACTGTGATGTGTCTGTCTCTAACCTGTGCCTCCCACCCCAGGTAAACATCAAAGAATTTTTCTTTTAGTATGGGAATCTTTTCTTAAGCTTTTACAATAATGGTCTTATGCAATATGTGTCCTTTTGTGACTGGCTAATTTCACTCAACATAATATCCTCAAGGTTCATTCATGTTATGTTTGGCTGCTTTCTTCACTATTCTTCAAGGTAGCATAAGATTCCATTGTTGTGTATGTACCAAAGTTTGTTTATTCACTTTTCCATTGCTGGGCACTTAGGCTGTCTCCATCTTTTTGTTATTGTGCACAGTGCTATGGTAAACATGGATGTGCATATATCTACTTGAGTTCTGGCTCCTATTTCTTGTGGCTATACCAAGCAGAGGAATTGCTGGATCCTAAGGTATTCCTAGTTCCAACCTTCTGCAGAGGTGTCATACCTTTTTCCAGAGTTCTTGAACTGTTTTACTTTCCCACCAGCAATGTTAGGAAGGTCCCAGTCTCTCCACATCTTCCAGCATTTGTTGCCCTCTGCTTCTCTGCTGTTGCTGGCGTGAGATGACATCTCATTGTTTTGATTTGCATCTCTCTGAGGAGCTCTGGTAGCGTAATGGTTATGAATCGGTCTGTGAACCACAAGGCCAGTAGTTCGAAACTACCAACTGCTCCATGGGAGAAAGATGAGGCTTTCTTGCTCCCGTAAAGATTTACAGGGTCACTGTGGGTTGGAACCGACTCGACGACACTTAACAACCACAATAGCTAATGAGCGTGAACATTCTTCATATGTTTGTTGGCTGTCTGTTCATGTCGTGTGCCCATTTTTTAATTCGGTTAGTTGTCTTGTCCAGTGGACTTTTTCTTGTCCAGTGGACTTTCAGATCCTTCCTTTGTACCTGCCGCCGTTGAGTTGGGGCTGACTCATGGACACCCAGCGTGTGTCAGGGTAGGACCACACACAGTGTTCACATAGTGTTTTCTCCTCTTCGTGGGAGCAATTACCAGGACTTTCTTCTGTGGTGCCACTGCTGGGTGGTTAGTTGCCAAGTGTACAACCGTGTTAGGGTTTCCCAGACTGTCAGTCTTTAGGGGAGCACACAACACAGCCTCTCTTTTCTTCCAAGGAGCAGTTGATGGGTTTTAGCCACTAACCTCATGGTTAGCCGTACAATGCTTAGCCCACTGCACAACCAGGACCCCTTGTTACTTCATTGCTACTGTCCTGAAGCTTTGGGTGTTGCAGACATGGGCAGTTCTGGGAACACTTTGGGTTGCCCCTGTGGCCCGTGCCCACCACTCCTGAGCATCTCTCCTGCTCCTCCCCGCAGCAGGGCCCACCCAGAAGGACGTGCCCTGTGAGTGGTGCAGGGCCCTTAGTGATGCCTGAGAAAGTGAGGTGGGCACACTGATGGCACCAAGATCACCACATTGTGTGTGTGTGTATGTGTCTTAGGTAGCTCTGAGGACATGGGCCAGCTCAGTAACCGTCTGTCCCAAAGGGGTGGAGGCTGGAGGCAGCAGGTGGGACTGGGGACAGGAAGCCTTTGGGGACCCTCAGGTTGTCTGCTTAGCTGCTTCGAGACCACCCACCAGCCTTGGAGCTTGGTCCCCCAGCCCCAGCCTCCTGCTATGCTTGTGTGCCGGCCATGGGGTTGGGGAGAGGTGGTCCCAAGGCTAACGAGAGCCCCCAAAGGGGAGCGCTCTTTAGAAGAGGGGTTGACGGACACTCAGGTGTCCTCTGGTGGGCGGTTCCACTGCCCCCCTGGGCCCTCCTCTTTTTAAGGGATACCACTCAGTAGCGTGAGGTTAGGGACTTAGGTTCATCATGAGACCCCTGCATCCACGTAGGACCCCAGTGCTGGCTGGGGGGACTAAGACTCCAGTCCACGTTTGGGGGGACATTCCATCCTCTGCAGGTCCCGAGAGCGTGTGGCTACGGCCTGGGGTTCACGTTTCAGAGCAGGAGGCGGCTCCTGAATAATTTCTGAGGCTCAGTCCCGGAGCCAGGCCCCAGCCAGAGCCCCTGGAGGCTCGTGTCTGAGACGGTGGGGATGGGTCAAGGGGACCCCCGGCTGCATGTCCATCCGCAGGGCTTTGAGGGACGGATATGGGGCCAGTAGGGGGCTGTGTTGGGGCCGGGGTGGGCCGGGCGGCCCCCTCTGTAGGTGGGGCCCCCAGCAACCAGGCGGCCCCGCAGAACTCGGGGGCTGGGGCCGGGGGTCGCGGAGTGCGCGCTGACTCCAGCCCCTGTTCAGCTTTGGTTCCTGAAAGAGCTCGGCGTCTGTAGGGCGCATGCTCCGTGGGGGGGGAGGGGGAGACGTGTGCGCATGCTCCGTGTGGTCCGTGTCATTTGCGATCCCTTTACGGTCTGAGTTCAGCCGTTAGAATGCCGGCTCACCAGGTCCTATTAGTAGTCGCCATGGATTGGAGCGCTTTACACGATTTTATTTTTACACGAATCAAAGGTTTCTGAAGCCGGAAGGGACTCGTGGAGTAGCGCGGATTCCGGGCGCTCTTTAATAAGTGTTTTGTGTCCGGGCTGCAGGCAGTACTACGATTCACAGGTTCCGCCCTGCACACTCAACTGCTTGTGAAAGTCCAACTGTGACCCCAGAGTCTGTCCTCTGGCGGGCGCTCCCGTGGTCACTGCAGCCTGAGCCAGGGGTTAGCTCTCATCCTGCAGACTAGGGCCCTTTCGTGCCACGTTTTGCACGTTTGTGTTTTCTGCTGGTGGCTTTGCTGTTGGAATACCCTAAGCTTGAGAGACCTGATCTGTTTAGTTAAGGAGAAAGTGTATGTGAGATGAGTGCCCATGATTCAACAGTACAGACTCAGCGCTACACACAACCGGAGGCTGTGCCTGCATCCTGGGGACCAGGGCTTCCCTGCCCCCAGAGTAACGTGATGAGCCCAGTATAGGCCAATAGGCTGTACTCAGCAAGGGTCGGCCGTGTACCTGACAGGAATGGACTGTAATGCCTAGCCAGGTCCGCTGTGGATTCCGCTCGAGTTGGTTGTGTACCCCACTTGGGTAGTCTATGCACCTGATCCGTCGCATGTGTACCCAATGTGAACTGGACTGTGCACCCGGCGAGTACTTGTCTCAGAAGGAGGTTCTGCGGGTTCTGGGAGCTTGCTGAAACTGAGGGGCTACTATGGAGTCCCTACCAGAGCCATGCCTCCAACTGAGGTCCATGTGGATGTCCTGCCTGGACACCGCCACGCTTCTTGCACGTCCCCTGTTCTCTGAGCCTGGTCATCAGCCTGTGTTCTTTCCCGGTCCTGAAGCTGATGGTACTTTGTTCTCCCAGCAGGAGATGGGACCCCCAGGGAAGCTAGCCCTTTCATCAATAATGTGGATATGGACCGGGAGAACTTCTTTGAAGGAAAGAACATGGCCCTTTTTGAGGTAACGCCCTTCCTCCCAGAAGGTAGTGGCTGGGCTATCAGAGTGTGCGTAGGACGTTCACTTGTCCTGGTGAACCAGGGCAGCAGGTGAGGGCTTGGAGGCCCATGCAGACTTCGTTGGGCACCCCGTCCTTGTACGGCCTCCTGGTCTGAGGAGCCCCGAGGGGACCCTTGACCTGACTGTGCCCTTGGGGGCGGGGGTCCCAGTGGATCCTGAGACATGAAGTTGGGGCTTCAGATGACTGTTGCTCGGTCATCAGTGGTCCGTGCCCCACCCCTCTGCAGGAGGAGATGGACAGCAACCCCATGGTGTCATCCCTACTCAACAAGCTGGCCAACTACACCAACCTGAGCCAGGGCGTGGTGGAGCACGAGGAGGATGAGGACAGCCGCCGCCGGGAGGCCAAGGTACTGACCCTGCTGACCCTGCCCGCTGGCCAGCCAGCGCGCGTGCGCACACACACACAGAAGGGGTGTGTATAGCCCCACCCTCCGAGCCCCCCCCCCCAGCACACAGGGCTCACACTGGGAGGATTGCATATATGGTCCCTGCCCACCGTCCAGCACAGGGTATTCACACAGGGAGGGGCATGTATACAGTCCCTGCCCCCCCCCAGTACTGCACCCAGTACCTTCTAGCTGCTGCAGAACCCCCTCCCCTGTGTCTCTGGTGAGAGCCAAATTGAGCCCTGAGTCCTCCCACAGGGTTAGGGGCTGGGGCGTCTCAGTTCCTGACCCTCACCCCTTCTGAGTGGTCCCTTGAGGGACTCGTGTCTAGGACTGACCACTGGGTGGAATCCTGGCCAGTGTGTGATTGGATGAAGGTGTGGGGTCTTCTGAAAGGGGACCGTCTCCCGTGATGGCTGAGCCTGGGCGGCTGCACCCACAATTCCTCCATCCTGCCTCCACTGCAGGCTGCCAAGCCCCTTGTGGCCGCTGAAAGCTTTGGTCACAAGAGGGAGCTGACGCAGCACCTGGACGGTGCGGAGACTCGAGTTGTTGCGCTTCACCTCTTTCTGCTCTTTGCACCTGAGCTGCCGTCCAGTGGTTTAGGAGGCCATGGTGTGGACCCCTGACCTGGGGTTCCCTGTGCGTCCCATGTGTCTGGGACAGGTGTGCATGAAGCCCCTGACCTGTGAGTGAGTCCTTCAGCCGGCCCCCCTTGATCTTTTGCAGACCCCGCACATGGGCACCTTCATTGGCGTCTACCTGCCCTGCCTGCAGAACATCCTGGGCGTCATCCTCTTCCTGCGTTTGACCTGGATTGTCGGGGTGGCAGGGGTGCTCGAATCCCTGCTCATCGTGTCTCTGTGCTGCACCTGTGTGAGTGGGGACGGGGGAGCTGGCTACAAGCCCCCCAGGGACCAGCTGCCTCTCACCCTGGGTCCCGTCTGTCCTTGAACTTTCAGTTCATTACCTCCTGATCATAGATTAGTCTGAGCTTCTCTTGTGGGAGTCTCTGCGTTCTAACACACGTTCGTCTCCTTAGAGTCAGGGGCTCCACACCTGATGGCGGCAGCATTTACCTGGCTGTTTGAGGAGCTCATGCTCCCCTGTGTGTGGAAGGTGCCCTCTTGTGGTTACCTTACAGGAGAGGCAGGCACCTGGATGGGTCCCCCAGCACCCATGGGCTGACCAGCTTCCTGCACTGAGAGGGCACTGGGGCTTAGGGGTGGAACGGAGTCAGAGGTCTGGTAGGAGCTGAGTGTGGTCCTCTCAGGGGGCCTGCAAGGGGGCGGGGAGGGTTCTGAGGGAAGACTTAAGAGCCCAGGAGCAACTCCCCCAGAGAACGCTCAGTGCCCCCGGCAGCAAGTACGTGCTGACCCCAGCCTCCAGCCCCCCAGGACACAGATCTCTTCTTCCCACAGACCACACTGACCGCCATCTCCATGAGCGCCATCGCCACCAACGGTGTGGTCCCAGGTGAGGCAGGGGCTCAGGTGAGAGTCCCCAGGTGGGGGGGGGGGGAGCAGGTGAGGCAGGGGCCCAGGTGAGGGGAGTACAATGTGAACTGCAGGTCACTCACCTTTACCCCATGTTGGTGCCTGTCTGGGCTGCCCTGGGAGGGGGCCGGGCCTTCTACTTCAAGTCCCATTGCCCTGCTGATGACTGGACCAGAATCTTCCCTTGCTGAGGTTACACTATGAAGCATCCTCCCTGAATCTCTCTGCGTGTGTGTCTGTGATGAGGGTCCTCACTTAGGGATGTCAGTGTGGACATGGGATTTGAAGACACATTCGAATTTTGGTCAGCTGTCTTCCTCAGTCCTTGTCTGGGGACCATGGGGGGCTGAGCACCCACCCACCATCTCATGTTCTGTTCTTACAGCGGGAGGCTCCTACTACATGATCTCCCGGTCACTGGGGCCTGAGTTCGGAGGGGCCGTCGGGCTCTGCTTCTACCTGGGCACCACATTCGCGGGGGCCATGTACATTTTGGGGACCATTGAGATCTTCTTGGTAAGTGTGTTGCTGTGGGACATTTTGGGGTCTGGTGCCCCCAGCCTATTGACAGGGGGTCCTAACAGGATCTCTATAAAGAGAAGGCCATGGACTCACTCCCTGCCCCCCTCCAACCTGCATTCAGTACACCTGGAATCCCACCAGTGTCTGCCTCCCCTGCTCTGAGTCTGTCTGTGACCGGCAGCTGGCTGGAGTCATGGTCTGAGCTGTCCCCAGGACAGGACAAGTGAAATAGACCTGTAGGTGGCTGGGGGCTGCAGTCCAGCTCTGGGCCTCTCCCTGGTGCCCACTGTCTGTTCATGTGTTAGCCAACTGCAGCAGCTTCATACCAGCAGGCATGACGGGTGTCTTGTGTCCCCGAGTGCAGCAGGGACCAGCACTGAGTGTGCCTATTGGGGAGATTGGAGCAGACAGCGGTGGGTAGGGTGCCCTGGGAGCACTCACTTCCCGTGAAGGCCACCTTCCAGGGTGCTGTGTCTGCACACCACTATCTAGATCCCTCCCAAGAGGAAGTCATCCTGAGCAGGGGTGTCTCCTGGCGGTGTGGCATGGCCGGCAGTCAGGGGCTCTGGGAGCTATAAGCACACGCCAGGGCAGGTTGGGCGGTCAGCTCTGAGAGGGAGCCTGAGGAGACGTGCCCCCGAGGACAGAGGACCTCTGCAGTCCCTGAGGGTGGTGTGACGGGGTGTCCCTGCCTGGGTCTCTGTCAGTGTGGCAGCGGCTCAGTGAGAGGGGCCGAGAAGTGTGCTTGGCTGGTGCTGAACCCAAACCCTAACCCACTGCCGCCATCTAGCTGATTCTGGCCCCTGGCGACCCTCTAGGACAGACTAGAAATGCTCCGTAGGGTTTCTGAGACGAAATCTTTTATGGGAGCCGACGGCTTCATCTTTCTCCCTTGGTGTGGTTGGTGGGCTTGAACCGCCGACCTTGTGGTGAGCAGCCCAGTAAGTAACGCACTGTCCCGGAGCAGCCTTGCTCCTGTGCTCTAGAGTTGTGTTCCTGTTTGTGTCGGCTCTGCGTGCTGCGGCTCCGTCTCTGCCCTCCACTTCTGTGACCCACGTCCAGAGAGGACCCTTAGTGTCCTTGTGGAGAGTCTGGAGGGCCCTCGCTCAGCCCCACTCTGCCCCCCAGACCTACATCTCGCCGAGCGCAGCAGTGTTCCGGGCCGAGGAGGTGGGCGGGGAGACGACTGCCATGCTGCACAACATGCGAGTCTACGGCACGTGCACCCTGGTGCTCATGGCTGCTGTGGTCTTCGTGGGTGTCAAGTACGTTAATAAGCTGGCCCTGGTCTTCCTGGCCTGTGTGGTGCTGTCCATCCTAGCCATCTACGCTGGCGTCATCAAGACCGCCTTTGACCCACCCGACATCCCGTGAGTGCCGCCCCAGATTCTGCCTCCGCTGCCCGTGTGTGTGTGTGTGTGTGTGTGTGTGTGTGTGTGTGTGTGTCATGGTGGGCAGCAGCGGTGCCATGGGCCCCGGGAAAACACCTATCCTCGCGCCCCAGGGTCTGCCTGCTCGGGAACCGCACACTGTCACGGCGCAGCTTCGACATCTGCGCCAAGACGCACAGCAGCCCCAATGGCACGGCACCCACGGCGCTCTGGGGCCTCTTCTGCAACGGCTCCGCCTCCGACGGCTCCTGTGACGAGTACTTCTCCCAGAACAACTTGACCATCATCCAGGGCATTCCTGGCGTGGCCAGTGGCGTCGTCCTTGGTGAGCCGGAGCCTAGCCGGGGTGGGGTGGGGCCGTGCTAGCTGGGAGAGCCAGGGTCCTGGGGTCCTGCGGGGGAGGGTCTAGTGGTGCCACCTGGTGCTGTTAGCGTCTTGGATGTGGCTCAGGCCTCTGTGTGTGCGTCAAGAGCCCCTGGGGCCCCCAAGTGTGCAGACAGCCAGGGAGAGCTGTGGGGGGCTTCTCGGAGGAGCTGGGTGTGTGCGTCTGACTCCTTGGAAGCTGTAGGGAGCAGAGGTGGGGTGGGTGGAGCGGCTAGTGCCCAGCCCGCTACTCAGTATGTGGGGTTGCTGTGTCATTAGAGACATCTGTAACATTGGGGTATTTCTGTTGAAGCTCTGCAGCCCTCATGAAGAACGTGCCCACCTTTCCCACCTGCAAGGGTAGGGCAGGGAGGCCACGTTCTGGGGTGCTGTGTGGCTGTCTTACTCCATGCGCTCCTGGTGTCCAGCGACTTGTCCTGACCCCCAGCTGGGACCCCTGGGATTCTTAGTTCTCTGCTGCTGCAAGTCGGGGGTCGGACCCAGAGGAGGGGCCATTTGCAGTGCAGGGGCCGAGAGGGATGGGGGCGGCGGCGGGGGCTTCTTTGTGGCACAGGCCTTCCGAGTGGGCCTGTGGGGGGGTATTCCCATAGGAACTTGGCCGACCCTCAGGACCCTGTGGCTCGCTAGGCACGAAGCCAGGCTGTAGCCCTGGGTCAGGCTCGGGTTTGCTTAGGCTGAATCGTCTGGTGTTCGAAACTGGAGCCACACCGACACTCAGCTGGGGGCTGTGCCCACCGGGTGGGAGGTCGGGACCCCAGGAGGACCGTCTCATGGCCGCGTGTTCCTGACAGATAACCTGTGGAGCACATACCTGGACAAGGGCGCGTTTGTGGAGAAGAAGGCTGTGGCCTCAGTCCCCGCGTCTGATGAGAGCAGGACCGCCGGGCTGCCGTACGTGCTGACAGACATCATGACACACTTTACCTTGCTGGTCGGCATCTACTTCCCCTCGGTGACTGGTGAGGCCCCACTGCCTGCCTGTCTGCCTGTCTGTCTCCCACTGCCTCCTGTCTGTGTCTCTTTTCTCTCCGCCTGTATCTCCGTGTCTCTGTGTCTCTGCCCTTGTCGCGGCTCTGACTCTCGTCCTCATCACTGCTCCCCATTTTCTCTCTTGTTTGGCTAGAGAGGAAAGTGGGGGCCCTGCCGGCGTGCAGGGAGGAGCGTTAGGAGCAGTTTGACTACAGGCCCGCCCACCACGGAGCACAATGCTGTGGCCCGGGGCTGACTGCCCATGTGTCTGTCTCTCCCACAGGCATCATGGCCGGCTCCAACCGCTCAGGGGACCTCAGGGATGCTCAGAAGTCTATCCCCACGGGCACCATCCTGGCCATTGTGACCACCTCCTTCATCTGTATCCTTGTGGGGTGGGCGGGCCTTGAGAGTGGGCGGGGTGATCAGTCTGTGAGGGTGGGCGGGGCAGGGCGAGGCTCTGCCCGTTCCTGCCCCATCTGACCGCTGACCTCCTTATGTCCTATAGATTTTATATTTGTTGCTGTCGTTATGTGCCATCGAGTCGGTTCCGACCCATAGCGACCCTGTACAGGGTTTCCGAGGCTATAAATCTTTACAGGAGCAGAAAGCCTCATCTATTTAGAATTGGCTAAAATTGACCGGGGTTGCATGGGAGCGTTCCCAGGGGTCCAGCTCCTTCCACACGTCCTCCTGTCCTGCCTGGTTGCAGGTGGTCAGCCGATAAGTCTTGCTGGTAACGAAAGTCACACTTGCTTTTGTCACTTGGCACCCTACCGTTTGCATTTCCCTGGGGAGCTTCTGTTCTTGGAAACGTCCGTCTGTCCATCCTGTCCAGTCCTCGCTGGGACCACACTGTACTTCCTGTTTTGTGTGTCTAGGGCAGTGATAAAGGTGTGATGAGGATGGGACCCCGCAGGGGGGCACCGGGATGGGATCAGAGCAAGGACCCCACAGTGTGTGTATGTGTGCGCACGCGCGTTCACCGGTTTGGAGTCAGAGCAGGGACCCCACAGGGCACCAGGACGGGGAGCATGACCCCATTCGCTCACAGGCACCGTCTCATTCCCTAACGAAAACCCAGACTTGTCGTGCATTGTGCTGTTCGGGGCGTGCATTGAAGGCGTGGTTTTACGTGATAAGTATGTCTACTTCCGTCTCCATTTTTAACTTCCTGGCACCCTTGTGGAGGTCTTGTACCCCCAGCCCCTTGGTTTCCTGGTTGCCTTTTTCAGTTCAGGTTCCAGCATGCCCCTCAAGCCCAGGTGCCCTTCAGTGCCGAAGGGTCCATAGGCAGGGGGCTGGCTAGTGGCAGAATGGGGTCTCCAGCCTACAAGCCCTCCTTAACACCAAGGCCCAGGGGGTCCCGGGCTTTCTGCAGACATGGGGGTTGTGGGCCCCATACTTGGTGGATGGACATCAGGAAGGCCAGCAGTCTGACCTCCATAGTGGACTCGATCTATGCAGATTTCAGAGTTGAGACAACCCCCATGGGAGAGGACACCGTGAAGTCGGGGGTGGGGTGGGGTGGGGGGTTGGTGGTGGTGGACCAGAGGAGACAGGAAGGTTCTAAGAGTTCCCTAGAGGCTTTTTTTTTTCCTCACTGGATCCCTAAGGAGGTCACTGCAGGACCACCAAGGCCACCTGGGACAGAGGGCCAAAAGTGGGTGTGGAAAGGGCAGGGGGGAAGGGAGCAGAGCGCTGACTGGTGAGTATGGAGAGTTCGAGGCTGGGGGCACCCTAGCAGGGTGGGCAGACACTGGGTGCTGATGGGTTACCCCGAATCCCCTGTACCTCGTGGCAGGCCCTGCCATATCTGCTCCAGCTGACCCCAACACCGTCTGCAGGTTTGGGGAGGCCCTACAAGGCAAGCTGGTCATCGGCATGCTGGCCTGGCCCTCCCCCTGGGTCATCATCATCGGCTCCTTTTTCTCCACCTGTGGTGCCGGCCTGCAGAGTCTGACCGGGGCCCCTCGCCTACTGCAGGCCATTGCCCGGGATGGCATTATCCCCTTCCTGCAGGTGGGTGGGGCTATGGGGCCGTGTCTTGAGGGTTGAGGGTTGAGGGTCATGGAGCAGACAGCACCCCCACTGAGCTCCATGTCTGACACGCGGGGCCTCCTCCAGTCCTGGCCAGCTCAGGTGGCTTCCTGTCTTAAGAGTCACTTTGAGCGCACGTTTTATGGAAGTCAGTTTCTTACTTTCGGCAGTTTAGGCATTTGGGGGATGACTGGCCATTGATCCTCTCTCACCTGGCCCCTCCACAGGTATTTGGCCATGGGAAGGCCAACGGGGAGCCCACCTGGGCCCTGCTGCTGACCACCCTCATCTGTGAGATTGGCATTCTCATCGCCTCACTGGACAGCGTGGCCCCCATTCTGTCCATGTGAGGGCAGGCAGGGTGCCGGGGGATGGCTGGGGCCAGGGATGGGGGAGGCGGAGCCGCCCGTCTGCTCACGCCCACCCACCCTCGCCCCCAGGTTCTTCCTCATGTGCTACATGTTCGTCAACCTGGCCTGCGCTGTGCAAACCCTGCTGCGCACCCCCAACTGGCGCCCACGCTTCAAGTACTACCACTGGTATGGCCGCTGTGGACGCGGGTGTGGCGGGCGGGGTGCACACACACCCAGGGGTCTCAGTCAGACACCGTGCCCCTCCGCACAGTGAGCCCTGGGCAGGCGGGTCAGTGGGGGTAGGGGCGTGGTGGGTGGGTCAATGGGGGTAGAGGCATGGTGGGTGAGGCCGTGGTGGGCGGGTCAGCGGGGTTAGAGGCATGGTGGGTGGGTCAGTGGTGATAGGGGCATGGTGGGTGGGGCTGTCACACCCGGCGGCTCCCTGTTGTGGGCAGGCATGGTGACAGCGTGCCCCTCACCCCCAGGACACTGTCGTTCCTGGGGATGAGCCTGTGTCTGGCCCTGATGTTCATCTGTTCCTGGTACTATGCCTTGTGCGCCATGCTCATTGCGGGCTGCATCTACAAGTACATCGAGTACCGCGGGTGAGCCGCCCCACCCAGCTGGAGCCCACTTCTGGCTGATGACCGAACCTGGTGCAGTCTGGGAGCCGTGCGGGGTGTCCCTTGACCTGGGCAGTGTGTCCTGCATGATGTTCCGTGTTGTGGGCAGTGTCCCATGTCCTGCGTGGTTTTCTGAGTCTGTACCATGTTCCCTGCATTCTGTGACCTGCAGTGTTCGGGTCTGTGTACCACGCAGTGCTTTGTGACTTATACTGTGCTCCTTGTCCCGCGCGGTGCTCTATGCCCTGCCTGGTGCTCCGTGCCCTGCCCGGTGCTGCGTGTCTGTGCCCTGCCTGGTGCTCCGTGCCCTGCCCGGTGCTGCGTGTCTGTGCCCTGCCTGGTGCTCCGTGCCCTGCCCAGTGCTGCGTGTCTGTGTCCTGCCCGGTGCTCTGTGTCCTGCTTGGTGGCCCATGCCCCATCCATTGTAAAGTATCACTGTATTGTCACCCTGGCAGGGCTGAGAAGGAATGGGGTGATGGCATCCGGGGTCTGTCGCTGAACGCCGCCCGCTATGCGCTGCTCCGTGTGGAGCACGGTCCCCCGCATACCAAGAACTGGAGGTGAGTGTGCCCAAGGGCCTTTGCTGACCCTAGTGTCGTTAACTGAAACGGCCAGTTTGTGACCTTGGACCATTGCCCACCTCATTAAACAATCTGTGGGGAACTCGGCCCAATACCTTTCTTCTGGGCTATTTCCCCTTTACAGTCAGGGCATGGTTCTACACTGCAGCCCCTAGTCCACTGGGCAGTGCCTCCCTGCTAAGCACAGCCCTGAGGTAATCGGTCATCTGCTGTATGACGCAGTATCAGTCAACATGGGTCCCTCATGAGCAGATGCCCCACGTGAGCCAATTGATGCATGGACACTCTGGCCCACTGCTGTGCTGGCTGCCCACCATGCTGATCATCAGCCATGATGTCAGTGTGCTGACCGCCCCAAGCTGACCCCCCATGCTGGCTCTCCTGTGCTGACCGTGCCCTGTGACCCCGCCCCCAGGCCTCAGGTGCTGGTGATATTGAGCCTAGACGAGGAACAGGCTGTGAAGCACCCACGGTTGCTCTCCTTCACCACCCAGCTGAAGGCTGGCAAGGGACTGACCATCGTGGGCTCCGTGCTGGAGGGCACTTACCTGGACAAGTATACTGAGGCCCAGCGTGCTGAGGAGGTGGGTGAGGGAGCGACTGTGGGGAGACAGTAAGGTGGCCAGCCTCCGGCTCATTTTCCCACACAGTTTGTACATGAGTCAAACTCGTTCGATTTCCTGCTTGAATGTGTTGAACACACATACACACATTGTAAAAATTGCCTTTTCAGCCCTTTTTCAGTGTACAGTTAAGTGACGAGTGAATTCAGGTGGCCACACCGTGTTCTAGCCCCACATTGGTGGATGAGGGTTCTGATGCCTCGTACCATCCTAGTGACGGTTAGCCATGTGGTCTGAATCCGTGTTTCCCTGATGACCGAGGACACTTGGGTGTCTTCTCATGAGCTTATTGGCCATTTGTGTTTCTTCCTGGGTGAAATGTCTCTTCAAGTCCTTTGCCCTTTTTTTTTTTTTTTTTTTGCTTGAGTCTTTTTGTTGTTAAGTTGTAGAAGTTCTTTATATATTCTGGTTGTTGAACCCTAACAAATAGTTGATG